TCATTAAAAATATTTCTTGTGGCTTGTGAAGTATTTGAATTGTTAAAACCATCCACAAATTCATCACACTTTCTTATAATTGATTCTGGGATACCGCATTTCATATTCTCCCACGATTTCAAAAAAAATTTTTTTGCCTACACCTTAAATTTTTTATCAAACCCGAATTATCACTAAGAACCATGTTTGCTTCAGGATCTCGCCACATAAGTTCTGACGGATTTATATATTTGAGAGCTTGCCTAAGTGATCTATAAAGATTCATGTCAATTTCCGATCCGGGATGCTAAGTATACAAGTTCATTAACTTTCAAACAAAAAACAATTCCCTTTGAATAAATATCTGAGATATACTTCGAGCTTATATTTTAACTTATTAATGTTTGCCGCAATCTTATGTCTATAATTTATTTATATACTATGCCTGCACATGCGCATTTTCAGAGTTTAAAAATATCATTGTTTTGGCTAAATAGCCACACACAGCTAAGGAGCAAACTCTCAACATTTAGAAGATATCACTCTTCTGAGTTGACTCTCCTCAACCTACAGCTATGACATATCAAAATTAATACATTTACCGTAGAATAATTATTAAATACAAAAGGCTTGAGCAATAAATTATATTTATACTAACTTGAATTGATATTCCAAAATACTAGTTTTTCGATCAACCTCTTCTATTTTCAATAGGGACGTGTTTACTACGATCTCTCTTACATACTCAAGAGAAGGTAAAATATTGATTTTTATTGTTAGGCAAATTGCAGATGCATCGCAAAAGAGAGTCTAGAGATTCTTCTAATAAAAATGCTTCAATCTTCGATATTAAATGTACCATGTTGATACGTATTTAGTTAATCGTAAAAAAATATTATTACTATGTGAAAACGAAATCACAAGTAAAAAAACAACAATAATGTAAATATACTGCCCTTTTAAACTATTTCGCCCGTTCATTTCTGATCTCCTTTGGGAATGCGGATGCAATGAACGACGAAAAAAGCTTTTCCAAAGAAAATGCATAAACCACGAGTTAGTAATAATCAGCAGGTACATGCTTGAAGTTCAATTTTATTCCTTAATACAGGTTGATCAAACATCTGTGTTATACAATTAGTCTGTGAAATTTATGACACGTGTTTAGTTTGCATGAATATCTCGTATATTCGTTGAATCAGATACACTACCTTGTAAAAAATATTCGGACATTTTTAATAACAAACAATTTTAATACTACGTATTTTTTTTAACGCCAATCTTTAGAAGTAATAACTTCTCTAATTCTTCGTGGCATATTATAGACCAAATTACTATATAGTGCTTGTCGAGCAAGGATTACGTACTGTATTATGTATGGGTAAGGGATTAGCAAAATTCAATAACACTTACAGATCATAAATAAAAAAGGGAAAGTTTTGAAACACGCTATGTCACGTGTCATGATGTTATGAAAATGTAAATGATATCAAATAAAATAAATCCCGTTTACATTTTGTACCAATTTTTAAATTGTTCCTTTACAAGAAAAGATCTTACTTGAGAAGAGATATATAAAACAACCGTTTGAACATACAGAAATTATTAAATTATAATTCGTCATGAATAAAAAATCTCTCATCATTTTACTTGCATTTTTATTAATTATGCATATTAAAAAAGCTCATAGTTGTTATCCTCCTGACGGTAGCGGCTGCAATAATAGTAGTCGCTCAAATTATAGTAAATTAATTTTCTAATTCATAATTCTTCTGATAAAAAAAAGCTAACAAATTTTTTTTTTTTTTTAGAATGTGGTGCTCAGGTTACAGATGTTAATTTGTTACCAGGTTCTATACTTAACATCACGGTTCAATCTCCTGATTATGATAACAGTGCGGGAACATCAGCAATAGGCCACTTTACCATGCACGCTGATAATGGCGTATATTGTAGATTTTTGTATGACCCTATATGGGTTAATGGTTGTACGTGTGAAAACTGCGAGAATATACCTCTAGCTTACACTTCACAATGGTATTTTTATAGACCAACTCCTCCGAAAGGAACTTATTTTGATGTTTGGATTACAATATATTGGAATTGTGATACCGAAGGAGGCGCTGTTGTTGCAGATTGTAATAGCGAAATAGTACATCATCGAGACTTTGTCAAGTAGAAACCAATATTTTTTTTAATTTAATTTAATTCTTTATTTTACTATATTTAGTTAACATTAATATTTACATCATATTATAATTTATAATAATTATAAAAAATATTATTATCAAATTAGTATTTTGAATATTAATCATTTCCAGAATTACCCTTGTCTGAGCCAACAACATTAAAAACTGCACGTGTAGTACATTAAGGTTCTAAGTATTTTCTGACCCTCAAGTGAATCATTTCTTCTTTCATATGAGTGACGCATGAAGTTGATGTTGATCCGGAGAAACAGCAATGAGGAAACTTGTAACAGCCATTCTCTTGATACTGTGTCTTTACGTTGACATAATCAACTGGCTTATGCGTAACAATAATATGTGTTTTTGAATCTTTTGGACATGGAGCTTCTTTTAATAGCAAAGTTGTTGATAGTGTCTTGTCATTTTTATATTAACTTAGAGGTGACTAATTTTATATTTAAAATTAAATAATCACGGCTGGAACTTTCTTTTAAGAAGACGGGTTTATTAATACAATAGTAGTGTCATGCAATGCAAAAATAAATAAAAATTTCGGGACGTAATCCAGGATACATGAAGTTTCTATGCTGACTTTTCTGTGATTACTTGATGAACTGTGTTTTTTCATTATGCTCTCTTCACTTCGAAAATCCGAATCTAGCTTCTGCACCTCCTCCAACTACCATGCAATATGACCAAGAACTTTCCTAACCATGTTTTCCAGTCAAGGTGCCCAGATACTTCCTCACCAGATACATCCTTCAGCAATGAAAATATAGAGTTTTTCTTTCCTGGCAGGCTTTCGAACAATGGCAAGCGAAAGGTACAAAATAGATGAAGTGAATTCGCAACAAATTAGGCCAAAGATTACACAAAACAATTGCATAATCCGAATTTTTATACGTTTTTTTCCTGCTACTTAAATAGTAATAAAACCAACATCATTATCGTCAAAAAACATTGCACCCACATCATAATTTTTCTTCCTCATTATTACTCTCACTATCTTCGGAGGGACTAAAGTTGAAACCCGAATAATCAGATATGATTTTCACATAGTGGGATACGCAATGATAAGCCGGGATAGAAATAACAGTACTGTGTCATATGCTAATCTGGAAGACTCTTCTCACTTCCAACTAATAAAGACAAAGTAATTTTAATACCGTGAGTTATATAATCTAACTAAATAAGTGATTAACATATTTTTTATGGGATTTTTTTTTCTGTGGTATTGCCCCGATGATGCAATGAGAATCGATCATAAATAAAAATGGAAAATCAATGTTTATCTACATAGCAGAGCATTTTGCACCTAAAAACGTGAAAAACCGATACAAACGTAAGATATATGCTGTCATATTATAATTGTGAAGATTCTTCTCACTTCCAACTAATAGAAGCTGATCTGGCTAATTAAATGACAAAAATTTTAATGATGTCTTACTGCATATATTTTCTGCAGGCAGAAATCAAGTCGGCAGGAATTTTAACCAATATTGCTGCAAAGCAAATGACATGTACTGAAAATCATTAGCGGTGCTGGCAATGCTAATATGCACTAATTAAATAATCCGAATTTTTATACTTTCTCTTCCCGCTACTTAAATCGTAGTAATAACTCTCGTCATCATCAGAAAAATCACAGAACCTCACCATTATCAAAAGATTTCTTATTATCGTCGTCATCATCATCGGAAGAACAGCAATATAGTCTATCGTCGCTATCATTAAAGAAATTCTCAGCTGGAGCTGTCTCATGTCAATATCGCTATTGATCCCATCGTAAGATTTCTCATCATCAGGTGACTCCAAGTTAGAATCTGAATAATCATTGGACTCACTAGTATTAAATACGGGTGGTATATCTACCTTAGCTTTTGTCTTAAGCTGACTCAATGATACCGAATCACTTACTTCAATGTGAGGTGAGATTTTTCGAGACAGCACCGTCCCGGAAATTTTAAGCGAAGGAGAATTGGAGAATCGGCTCTCTGAACCATAATTAATAATCTCTTGAATTTGATCATTAGTAAGTTCTGAGATTGAATTTGTACTATAGCTATTAATATGTTTAATTTTATATAGACCTATCTTTTCGAATAACTTATAAATTTATGCAGCTTGTTGAGTTTTTTGCATATCTTATAATACTTTTGGAAGTTGTAAACCTAAATCTTGTGATCGTTTTTACAATTAATAGAGTGTTGATTTTTAATTTTATTATAAATCAAAGTTTTTGCTTTTTTCTCTCCAATTTCATTTTTACTACTCATTTTATCAACTTGAAATTCAAAATTCCTATCATAAAGAGACCAACATATAATTTCTTCCTGATTAGTCTTCAAAGCTCAATCTTCAGCGTCTATAGCTGTATCACATAACTGAGCTAAATATTGTGATACCTCATTAATATCAAATCAATTAACAATACACTTTATAGAACTATCAATCCCATATTTTTCATAATATGTCCAGGCTTAATATTTTTTTGATATAGAGTGATCTTGTGAACTTGGCTTCAAATAAGTATTGAACAATTTCTACTGGAGTTTATCTATTCCCTTTTCTTATGATTAACCAAAGATAGGTCTTGATCTCAAGATTTTTTCTTCTCAATGTTCTGAATAATCTCTTTTATAGCCATTTCATTATGCTTTGAATCCAGGATTCATTTTCTTTCCTCTCTTCTAATAATTTCTAATAATATGGTTTTAGCAGGAATAGGAGATATAGAGAATATCAAATCCTGGTATACAGTATGGGACAAAAATAATGACACTTTTTTTTTTGTTATTATTTAATAAATATTTATTTAAATTAAATAAAAATAAAAATTCAAATAATTTTAAACTAATAAAATAATTTGTATTAAAAAAATTTTTTTATTTAATTATTAATATTTTAAAAAATTTTAATTTTTACTAAAAAATTATTATTGCATTTTTTATTTTATG